GAAATAATAATTTCAAAGTGATACTTACAATTTAATGGTTCGAGATCTTGGAATCCTTTCAACATTTATAATTTTCGCATTTGATTTGAAACGATTGAAAAAATTTGCGTTGTCTTCGTCGTCTTCGATTATGTGCCGATAACTGTCCGATCGGAGAATTCTGGGTGTTGTCGATTTGACTGGAAATGCTACTGCAGGTGTATTTGATTGTTCTTGGATGCTCCTTGGAGCTTCCGCAGCAGTCAAGCAAATGTCAGCAACATCGCCAGTTCCGTTGCCCTGCCCACATTTTAAACGCATTATATAATTTTTTCATCCGCATGATGCGTGGATAGAAAAAAGCGTTAGTTACCTGTTGCGGTGAAGGGGTGTAACCGTCTGGCGACGAAGAAGAGGATGTACACGTATCGGAGTCTTCTTCCATTAACGGTTCTAAGGTTCTTCGCGGAAGTAGACCGCGTAAATTGGCACTTGCAATTGGAGGAGTCATTAGTAGTTCATCCATCATCAATTCGGTATCGTCGCCGTTGTCCGAAGATAATGATCCGCCATTAGGCTGCATACGTACAGGTGGTCTTAAGATCACATTTAAACACTCACTAAGTTCTACATGCATGCAACATGCTTAAAAACCTAAGCTCTAACCGAACGCTTTGTGTCGTAATTTGAGCTCAAGGGATCGTCCATATCTCCACTTGTTGGCGTTCCCCAAATCTCCTCACCGGACGTTGCACCCGAGTTTTCGCATTCGTCTTCTTCGCCATTCTCTTCCTTACTGTCTCCCGATTTTAGGTAACTATAGCGAGTTTCAGTTTCACTTTTTTAAATCACATTCAACTCACCGTTCAAAAAACCCGGTTCCAGCGCGATAGTCCTCGCCCAATCTCTCAAAAAACGCCATTTTCTCAGACATGAACGCACCAGCACGTGCTGTCCACCCTCTAATTGTCGGCGGATTAAATCCCCTATTGTCGATGCCCATGCTTTCGTCGTCCTCACTTTCTGAAGTCTCGGCTTCGTCGTTTTCGTCGGTTTCCTCGGAACCAACGCGCTCCAGACTCGAGACGGTACCGAACCTTCGAAGCGTCGGGTTAGAGCTGCTGAGCGAGTGATAGGGTTGCTCTTCGTCTTGGGGGGAATCGTCGGGAGAACATTCGTTATTGTTTAGCTAAAAGAACGTAGGATTGGTATTGGGGTCTTCTTGGGACAGTACGCCGACAATCTCACCTGACTCGTCGATATTCTACTACATACAGACTCACTATATCTAAATTCGGAACGAGTATCGGGCGTTGGAGGGACTACTGATATTTTGGGTAGAGGCGAAAAGGGATCAAGCTTTACCAAACTAGCGGCCGGATTAACTGCACTAAATCCCATTAGCATTAAACGTCCAAATTCATCACAGATAATGTTATCTTCGTATAGGTTCGTTGTATTGAGGTTTATTGCATTTTTGTTATATTCGGTGCACTTACTATGGTTAATGTTGTTATTGGAATTGTGAGCGTTAGGGTTAGTCCGGCAGGTGTTGTGGCATTGTTGGCATACTCTCACGGTTTCTTTGGCATTCGGGCTTGAACGAACGGTTACCTAGATGAGGGAAGGAGGAATAACACAACACTGAACATCGAACACTGAGCTGCTCACCTGGCTTTCGGGGCTTGTGCTCTTGGACGGACTGTGATCTGACAAAATAAGCTCCTCGCACCTGCTTTCGCAATGCCTAGGCGAATTTCGGTTGTCACTTATCATGAGCTCCTCCGTTCGCCTCCGCAACATGTCCACGCTCCATATTTCGCAATCAGACTCCTCTTCGGGTGTGAGCGTTTGGTCTCTGCCCAACTGACCTTTCATCCACTGCTCTAAGTGTATGGCGCTTCCTTTGGTACTACTGCTACACTTTCCCAACTGCTTACATTTATGCTCTATTATTTCGTCTAACTGCTTTTGCTTGCCACAGCTTTCTACGTTTAGGCATTGGGGAGTCTGAAAAACGTCGCTTATTAATAAGAAAAACAAACTCGAATCAAAAACAAAAGATTTATTTATCATTTACACTTATAACAATATAATTCTAAGCCAACTATGGTTAACTAGCATTAATAAAACTATAGTAGTATAAAAATTGATTAAAGGTACAAGTAAGACAGTCGATTGGTACAAATATATCGTAATCTTTTCTGTTTAAAGAATCACATCGATAACACAGTTAGAATTTTGAATTGTACAAAAATAGATCTTTGGTTTTGCTTTCGAAAAATGAAGCTACAACAAATTAAGGTTTCCGAATTCATAATCAAAATTTGCAATGTCCAACAGTTCCTCGTCGAATTTTGAATAATCGATATCTTCTTTAAAGCTAGCGTCAAAATCAGTCGACGGCGTTAAAATTGCGGAAGGGGTGTGAGGTTCTTCCGAAAGCTGGGTTTTAGGCAGAAGACTGCTCTCTGATGTGAAGTGCGAAGTGAAGGCTTGCGAATATTCGGACAGCAGTGAAGGGGTTGTGTTAGCTGATGGCGTTTCGGGAGTTTTGGTTAATGAGCTTTGGGCCGGTAATGGAGATTGCGGAAGCGAGGAGCATTTTCGTGCGGACAAACAAAGAGGTTCTAATGGTCGGTTGTTTTGACCACTACACAGACGCACCTGGCGACGGATCGACAGCGATTCTGTCGATTGAAGGGTGCCAACGGATGAGGTCACCGGAACGTCCGGAGACTCTAATGGGCTGCTAAATGAACTGCCTTCCATGCCCGCGTTAACGTGGCAGCTGCGTGCATAACAACATCACTATAAGTACTACTTTTTACTCAAAATCCGTCACTCGCGGTTTCGTATGTAGGTTTTGCTCAAGTTTGCACACAAATCGTACATACGGATTCTCTAAGCTCTATTTCCCTATCTATTCGTATTGGAATATGTTGTTTTAGACCAATATCCGCTGTACCAAACGAGAATCCGTTTCAGCTATCAACATTTTAGAAATTATGATTTGGGAGAAATCCTTATTGTTGTTTGGATAGTAAGCAACAAAATATTCCAGTACATATTGACGGTTTTTGGCACTAATACCTAAGGCGACTATATCACCAACTCCTGTATCATCTATGGTAGTACTAAACGCGTGCAAAAAAGTTAATCAAAGACTTACATCTGTCGTTGTAACAAATTTTGCCAAACAGCCTTCAGTTCAGTTGTGGGGGCCCTTAGTACGATACACCTTTTATTCGAACTTTTCCGCGGCGTTCGTGTTAAATCCGGGCCGCAATGTATCGTCGGACTTTTCGCCGCAGTTCCACCCGGGTGTACTATTAACCTAAATTCGTTCGCTAAAAAAGGGTCAGATTCCCGCACTATACCGGGCTTACCATAGCTCACTCACCTTTTTTCCTAACGTTAAAGAGTAAATCAGTTATATGCACCAATGGAAGCGGATCTTCAATTATAAACAAAACCCTATCCCTCGACACTTTGGCGAACAAAATTAAATCGCTAAATAGCAACGTCCAATACTGTCTGACGCTCCTTCCTTCTACTCTACCCAGATCACCGCCAAAAATCCATTGCCTACCCGGTTTACTTAAAACGAAAGGCTGCAAAGAGGAGTTAGTCAGTTTTTCTTGTGGTACGAACCTACTTTGCACTTGGTGAACACAAGGCGATTTTCTAAATCTTGAACGGATAGTAGAGGTCTACCTTCCCCAACCGGCTCCATCAGTCCCGCCTCGGCCGTCATCTCCCTATAGGCTATCTAAAAGAACTCACCACAGTCTCATCACCACCAACAATTCTAAGTTGTCACCTGCAAATCCTGAACAATTTTACTAATGAGAGCATACTCGTCATGGTTCGCTTTGGTCTGACTTAAAATGACGTTGAACAACTTTAAAATCTCGCGATAATGTTCTAGGGGTTTATGTATAAAGGAAGTAATGTCGGGTCTTCTTCGCGGTACCGCAGGCGTTTGTAAAAATCGTACGAAGTCCGAATTGGAATTTCGAGTTTTGTTTACTAAAATGCAATCCGCCTTTTTAATACCGGAACAGTAGCGTTTGTATGACGTTATAATATCCGATAGCTTCGAATGGTAGACTTTTAGTAAAAGGTGTATCTGGGGTTCGCCATCTTCCGGCACTAGACACTCTAGTATTTCCTCACTGATACGATGCACCTGAAATTTCAATTTTAACTTGACTCAGATTGTTGGCAGATACCTCTTCCGAATTTTGAAAAAGGAGTCGGTGGTCTAACGGCGATATTAGGTCTTTTCGTTCAGCGAGAGCGGAGACGAATCTGGTAATTGCAAACTGTAGGGAGGCGGTGTACTGTTGCTCTTTTGCTAGAACTTGGTACATCGCTTTTCTACGTGCTTCTTCTGTGTTCAGTAGTGGTTTCTGAAACGTAATGCGATTTCGATACCGTTACATTTGGTATACGTGGCCAAAATGGGTCAAAATATCTATTGCGTTTGTGAATTCCATTCAAATTAAGTGCAATTATCCTACATGCAGTTTGGGAATGCAGTTTCTACCAAACGCCAAACCTAAGCGAACTTATAAAAGCTTCTTGCTTTTACATGCCAAAAGGGAAGAACCAATTGGGCATAAGCAGACCAGAATACGAATATTTTAGTAAATGTATAGCGTTTCGACAGATCCATACCAATTAGAGATCCATTGGGTTGAATATTAGCACAATCTTTATTCAATTGATTTTATAGTTTAGTTTATTTCCATTTCTTAGCGAAGAGCAACTATAACTGCATTATCATGAGCTATCCAAATCCAACCAACATTTTTCCGTTAGTGAAGAAGTTCGATCGTTAAGATAGAACACTAAACTTCCAGACATGCTTTAAAAAAAATATATATTATGTATTTGTTTTCATCCCTTAATTTTTGCGCATGTTGCTAATTAAATTGCTAATTAATATTTGTAACGTTAGATGTACAACCAGGTTCAGAAATTTTCCTCTTTTCAGCTAGGGATAAGACAGAATGTGGTGGAGTCGTCAGCAAATTATTGATTAATTAGGTACATTAAACGCACAGTGCGTTAACCTGTTTTAGAAATATAAGTTCGTTGATATTACTTTTGAAAAGGTCAGAGGTCGCGTTCTCTTGATTTACGGGAGAATTTGCGTCTAGAGTATTTTGTAGAGCGGTGCCAGTGTAGGAGTTCTCTTTTTTAATTTAATCCGTTTCTGTTTTTCGTTGTGATATCTAGTTAAAATCATAATCAGTCAATTAAAAAGTGTTTTACTAATGTCATGGCTTCCAATTCTACCATTGTTGGTGTAAAAAGAAAATTTCAAAATTGCAACATTCAGTTGTATTTCAAAATTTAAAAAAATTATATATAGTAATATTGAAATCTAAACGGTCTTTTTTTAATATGCGAAATCGTTAGGATCATTGTTTCAATTTAACGAACTTGTAACCGAGGTCTTCGCGGTGAGACGTGAAATTGGAACACCCTGTAATGAAAAGAAAAAACTTGGAAAACACCAATGAATCGATAACTAGGAATAAAATTAAAGAATTTGAGAACCGAGATCAGATCAAATTATATCCAAACTGGTTATCAAATAATCTAAAAGGTGGCTCATGGGAGAGCCCAAACATTTTATAAAGGAACGAAGGTTTCTGCTCATACTCATTCGAAACATCAAACATGTCTACCTTATAATGCAATAAAAAGATCTTCATCACATCAAAAAATTGCGTATTTTGGAAAAACTAAAAACCGTCGCTCTTATTGCGACACCCTTTATATAATATTTTAGTCTGAAATATATAGATACAAATTAGCCATCTTTTTTGATATAATTTAAATACAGAGCTGGGCAGTATTCGTTTTTGTAAATACTTTTTAGTATTCAAATCCTTTAAACTATTCAAATACTTTGTAATTAAATACTTTTATGGAAGCAGTATTTGTATTTGTAACTCAAATACTTTCACAAATATTTAGTATTCGAATACTTCGCAAGGTATTTGAATACTTTGAGAAGTATTCAAATACTTCGCACAGTATTTGAATTCTTAACCTTCCTTTTTCACCAAAAATCGACTGCACCAAAATTTCTCGGGAAAACACTTTTTCTTATTAATTTTGGTGCGTAGAATCCAAAACCATTCGTACTTTTTCGATCAGACTTCTGAATCAAAAGTTATAGACTAGAAACCAATTTCGAAAGAAAATTCAAAGGGCTGTAACTTTTCAACTAGTAGCCCCATCTTCAAACTGATTGAAATTATGGATTTTACAGGCCACATTCTATAAGAAAATTTTTTTTCCGGGTCGATCTGAGACAATTTTTTTTCGGGGCTCAAAAAAAGGCAGTGTATAACCTTCCTTTTTTTTACCAAAAATCGACTGCACCAAAATTTCTCGGGAAAACACTTTTTCTTATTAATTTTGGTGCGCAGAATCCAAAACAATTCGTACTTTTTCGATTAGACTTCTCAATCAAAAGTTATGGACAAAAAACAAATTTCGAAAAAAAATTCAAAGGGCTGTAACTTTTGAAATAGTAGCCCAATCTTGGAACTGTTTGAAATTATGGATTCTACAGGCCACATTCTATAAGAAATTTTTTTTCCGGGTCGATCTGAGACAATTTTTTTTTCGGGCCTCAAAAAAAGGCAGTGTATAACCTTCCTTCTTTACCAAAAATCGACTGCACCAAAATTTCTCGGGAAAACACTTTTTCTTATTAATTTTGGTGCGTAGAATCCAAAACAATTCGTACTTTTTCGATTAGACTTCTCAATCAAAAGTGATGGACAAAAAACAAATTTCGAAAAAAAATTCAAAGGGCTGTAACTTTTGATCTAGTAGCCCAATCTTCAAACTGTTTGAAATTATGAATTCTACTGGCCAAATTCTATAAGAAAATGTTTTTTCCCGGTCGATCTCAGACAATTTTTTTTTCCGGCCTCAAAAAAAGGCAGTACTTTTAAGTTATTCAAATATTTGAGAACAATTTAGAAATGTTTAGGGAAAGTTTCCATTGTCACAAAATCAAATATAAAAATCCGATACAACTGAATACCGAACGATCCTGGAACGAAACTTTTTGACTCGATAGTCCACGTAACTTAAAAACGATAGGAACCTTCCTTATATCAATATCCTTAAGACCATTGTGTACCAATTTTCAAAGCGATCGCACGTTTCTAAACCAACTATCATGCACACGGACAAACGGATGGTCAAAAAAGGATCTGTTCCAAAATCGCTAGGATTAATTCCAGAAAGGCGTACGTATCATGTGCACGACGACTGATACGCGTATTCTTAAGGATATAACTGGTATAAGAAAGGTCCTGGTAGGTACCTCCTATATAATAATTTAATAATAATAATACGCTTTCACTCCCCTTAAATTTGTATATAACAATAGAAATATAAAAAAAGCTAACCCCATACAAAGTATAACTTGATTTTTAAGTAGTATTAAGACTTTTATCTAGTATACTATTTTAAATTTTTAATGTATTTGAGTGACAAATATTCGAATACTTTTCAATGTATCTGTATCTAGTATTCACTTGTGCTGGACGTAAAAGTATTTAGTATTCAAATACCTTTGATCTGTGTAAAGTATTTACTATTTAGTATTCAAATACTTTTTGAAAGTATTCTGCCCAGCTCTGTTTAAATATCTAAAAGTATACATGAGCGAAAGATGCTCATTTAAAAATTTTAAAATTGTGGCTGTATGGCTATTACTCAAGGTGTTACTTCGTGCAACATGTGGTTAAAACTTGGAGAAGTCGAGACGGGCCGGTCATTGTTGAAAAGTCTGGCGCTGCAAGACATGGCAGAAAATGGGGACTCAACAGTTTTTTCGATTCGGTTGATAAGCTAAACGGCATGGGAGATTGAGATCAATCCAGATCTCCTGTCGATATGTTGCTGTACAGCTTACCGTCATATTTTGGACGACATGCTCGAGGAGGGTGCAGTGGCACGACCTGTGGCTTGAGGAACCCCATGAAGATGTCCTAGTCGACCAGAGAAGGTGACGACTAAAAGGAGTAGCATAATTATGTTATTCCAGGGGACAATAACGAAGTGGGACAGAACCTTGGGCGGGTCTGACGAATGAATCGTCGATGAGATGACTTCAATTCTCGAAAAAGAGCCCTGGGAGATGGTCGACCGCCTTGAAAAAATTTCCGTGTGGTTCTAAGGAACAAGTTGCGTTCTGATAGCTCCATCTAGAAACGGAAAGCACGATTGGTCGCACTGGGATTCATCCAGCAACCTGACATCCGCTTTACGGAAACATCAGTGGCTCAAGGCGGTAGGAGCTGGTATACCGGACTGGACGAGCACGAGACCAAGAAGAATCGATCATAGCAAATCATTGAAATAGAATTGGTTCATGAAGATTAAGAGCTTTTAAGAATTATTTTACTTTATTTACTTGATTATTAGCTTCTCCTAAAAAACAGCTATACAGGGTGGTGACTTGCGTAACGCATCATAGGAATTTCAATGTAAAATTTATAACATGCGATTATTGGCTCCCCAAATTATTTTAGAGCAAAAATGTATTAAAGTTTTTTGTAGAAAAAAGTTTTTTAAGCCAAACTACGGTATTAGTTTTCAATTTTTTTTCATATAAAGACGGAAAATTGGAAAAAAATAAATCGCATCTTTTTCAATAATCTGCGATGCCATGGAATTTTCTAAAACAAAAAGATATCCAGTTATCAATTAGCAGCAGTTCGAAATAAATTTTATGATCGACTTGGTTACTGTCTTGCAGTTAATGGTGACTTATTCGAACATTTATTGTAAATTGTTATATTAGGAAACCGTTTTTAGTAATTTGGTCTTTCTTTATGATGATTTCGCTGTTCTAAATATAATACTTTTTGATAGAATTTGATTTGTTTTATAGCAGACATTCCATGGCATGACGGATGTTGGCGTAGTTTTTGTATTATAAAATTCCATGGCATCACAGATTATTGAAAAAGATGGGGGTTTTATTTTTCCAATTTTCCGCCTTTATTATGCAAAAAATTGAAAACTAATACCGTTGATTGGCGTAAAAAATTTTTTTCTACAAAAAACCTTAATACATTTTTGTTCTAAAATAATTTGGGGAGCCAATAATCGCATGTTATGAATTTTACATTGAAATCCCTATGATGCGTTACGCAAGTCACCACCCTGTATATACCTACAGGGTGAAAATTGAACAGTATGTATATATTCAAAACAACATTTTTTTCTAGAAGCTTTTTATCGCTGCATACTTTAAATTTGTTTTCAGTGACGTACTTTTACATTGCGAAGGGGGACATATTTTTTCTAATGGCAACTACTAGTTTTCATTACATGCGCAGAGTACATTTTGTTGGATGTCGTACCGCAAAAACGTATTATATTACGTAATCAAACTTAAGAAAAAAAACTGATGTAGTTGTAGTAATTAACTTTATAATTTTACTACTTTGCTTTGAAAAAAACGTTAATCTTTTGTTAGTTTTATCCAAGTAATTTATTGTATTAAATATTATTAAAGATTCGCAAAAATCTACAAATATGAAAACCATTAACAGTGGCGTGCGTTTTTTAAATAATTGTTGATACAATAAATTGCTTTGACAAAACTGACGTACAATTAAAGTATATGAAATTAAATTTGTAGGGGAACACATAATCACGATTAGCAAATGATTCAAGTGGTCGATGTACCTAACATATTATGGAATATCGTATGACCAAAAATTGAGGAACAGTATTATACCGTAGCTTATACAAAATACAATAAAAATACCACTTTTAAGAATAAGGGGTCACGCAATCGCAGTTAATGTGCAAAAATCCGCGTTAAAACAGTACATGTCACTCAAATTTTTTTAATAATAATAATATTATAATTATTATTGAGAAAAATGGCAAAATGTCAATTTTCAGGAGTTTGAACCCTTATAAAAGGGATTCTCAGTGACCTCTAGAAGTGGTAATCCTTCGGAAATTGTTCGTTAGCGCCTCGGGAAGCTTCATGTAAAATTTGGTGCTTGTATCCGGCTGGTAAATATGTTTTCATTAAGCGACCTCACTACTAGTACTTATTGATACGTAAATTCTTTTCTAACCTCCCTTAAGGGAGTGTTTTTGAATCAATTTTTTTATTTTCATTACTAATGATCGTAGGAACATCTTCTTAATGGCATATGCAAGTATGTTTAAGACCTCCTTGTGTCCGATCTTCAGGGAGGGATGGCTTTTCAACGATATTCATGTCACTATAGGAGATGGTGACACTTTTTTGCTACAAGTATAGCGACCATTTAAAGGTTTTATCAAATACTCCTCAAAATGAAAATGGTCCCTGCGAGTGATGCCGTTATTGCGTGGCTTTTGTTTAAACATGTCGGAAAATTTAATGATTTTGGACAATTTGCTACACAAAATTCTTTGAATTTTCTGGTAGTCGGTGACAAAATGACCCGCCATACTAATTTGAACGTGTCGATTGTTTTTTTTTTTTGTGTTTTGCTACAAGCTCATATTTTTATGACCATCATCAGCCCTCAATCAGTCATTCACGAAAATCATCCTGTCACACCGCTCCGACGGGCCGCCATACCGCCGCAAAGATGTCATTTTTTGTTAATAATCTTGGGCATTTGGATTTTCCGAAACTTCATGCTCCAATTTGATCCATGATATATACGCCATACTCTTCATACTCGAAAATTTGTTTTCCTGAAACATCTTTGCACTATAACTGGGACTAGCACGAACTTCAGAGAGATTATTTTATTATTAAAAAATTTTTTTTTCCCGGTAATCTGACTGGAGACATGTATTTGTCATTGTTAGTAGATGTTATTGATTCAATGATAACCAACATTAAGGAACGTCATATTACTGTGATGAGCGATACATAGAAGGTGATATTCTCGAATAATTGTTATTGTTGGGAAGGTGGCTTTGCAAATCCATTTAAATCGAGTTTTCTCTGGAACTACTGATCGGATTTATAAAATGAAAACAGAATAAACATGCGTATCGAACTAGAACACAAAAATTTTAATAGTACGTTTAAGAACTTTCACGATATTATTTATGATTTTTACATTGCTAGTTTCCCAATTAGAAATACAACTAAAAAAAATGATGGCAAGGTCGTAAACTGGTTTTCGCAAAACCTATCTCGTTTAAGAGATAATTTACAACTCATTAGTGAATTGTATAACAGGTACCGCTCTCAGAACCTTTATGACCTAAAGAAATCCTTATCTTTAACTTATAAAAAGGAAATAAGATCAGCTAAAATGAAAGCAAATGATACGTTTATTAAAAACTCCTGCAATCCCACTAAAGCGATGTGGACAATAATCAATTCACAACGAAATTGTAATATGTAATCATTTATCTTGCAATGAATTGATGGCGCGCGCCGAATGTAGCTATAATTAATGTCGATGTCGGTATTAATCTAGATTTAAGAATAATCAGAGAAAATCTTTCACTAAAAGTGATCCTATAATACCAAGCAGTGGCAGTAGGAACAGTGGTAGTTTAATCAATAGTTAAATTAGTGCCGTTGCACGAATAAATCACGTACTTGAGCTTATACAGTGAACGTAGTGTGTCTATATGCAAGTATTATTACCTTGACATCCTGATAGTGGCTCTTTATTATTGTTTCGTCGAACACGTTCGAATTGTTTTTGAATTTGATAATGCCTAACACACGAGCTTCAGCTGCAATTGATCCTGAGGTCACCGATGCCATAGATAAAGCATTTAAGAAGCATTCCGACCACTTGTTTGAAAAGGTGGACGAAAAATTTAATCAATTACATCAATCAATCGGTGACATAAATTTGAATATCCAGTCGCTTCAATCTAAAATTAATGCCCAGGACAAAGTTATCTTGGATCAAAACAAACAACTCATACAGCTGTCTAACGAGTTGGATAATTTTAACCAACACTACAGAAGAACGTCACTAGTGTTGTACGGAGTCCCAGAAGCAACCAACGAAGATTCAGACAAAATCATATTAGCTGTTGCCCAAAATAATCTTAAAGTAGCTCTCGATATCAACGATCTGGACAGAAGCCATCGGCTAGGAAAGAGGCAAGGTGATAAACCGCGCCCTATTATCTTTAAATTGGTATCATACAGAATTCGCCAATTGTTATTTACAAACAAATCAAAACTAAAAGGGACAAGTATGGTGTTAAGAGAAAACTTAACAGAAAAAAGAAGAATGGTGCTAAGTGAAGCTGCTAAAAAATATGGGAGCCGCCGCGTTTGGACACTGGACGGGAAAATCTTCATCTCAGTTGGAGAAAACCAATCCGCAAAGAAATACTGTGTGACAACAATGGAAGAACTGCTCTCACTCGCCTGTTGATGTTGATGAAGTTTTTTTTCAATTTCGATCATGATGGATATATATATTTTTTTCAAATAAATGGTTCTTTGTAGTCCATTAATATTATTATTGATGGATAAAGAAATAGTGTGTTTTTCTTACTGGCATCGGCATGAGGAAGTTTTGTATCTTTAAGTTTTAAGAATTTTGCAACAAATTAATTTTTTTGTTTTAGATTACCTGCAGTCATGAATGTAGCATTCGAGGATGACCTACCACAAGTTGAGAATGTGATTATAAATGATGTTCCTACCTATATAACAACTACACACAAGTTTATGGGAGTAAATAGCTTTATCTTTAAAGTATTTCAAACTAATATCCGTAGTATTCATAGTAACTTTGTTCAGCTGGAAGTACTGCTCGATACTCTTAATTCAAAATATGACATAATAATATTGACTGAAACATGGTCGGGTGGAAGTGGAGAGTATGCGAATCTAGATGACTACTGCTGTTATTCTAACGGAAGTAACCAGAATAAAGCGGACGGGGTCCTTGTTTACATAAAAAGTAGTTT